CATGAATAAATATTCCCTACACCCTGTACTCAGTACCGTCTTTCCGTACTTATCGCCATAGTAGGTAGTATTTCGAAATACGCTGACGAGACTGAATGAGTTTGGAGAACATTTATATCGATACCGAAGAGGCAGTTAGAAATGAGACTCCATAGTGCTATCTAGTGTTTGTTATTTATGTGCACGTTCAGATCGGAAGATCTGGTTTAAATATTGTGGGAATGATTATTATGATCGTTGGTCGGAGGAGGGCTTGTATCTCGTTTACTGACTGTTAGAGGATCCCTTGTAGCTCGTATTCTGATGGTTTGTCAGAATAATAGCACTCTATGCTGTTGATCCCTACGGCTTGGATCACGTTCTTATACTTTTGTGGGTCGGTATAAGCGAGTCAATGACATGACATGAACTGTCATTGCGTCTCCATATCTGACGAGATATGTTGAGACGGGGGAGTCCCTACTCATTTCAAGTTGAAACTAAACTGGTCAACATTGATAACGTCGTGGTCCAAGATATACCCTGAATTCAAAGTAGAATAACTCACATTTCTAGATTATTTCTTCTGAAAAATTTGGAAAGTTCGCCTTCACCACATCTGAAAACTTGATCGTCATTAGAACCAGCTGCAAGTTCAAAATGATAATAATGACCATTTTCAGTTTTCACTCATCTCATTTTTGATGTTTTTAATAAGGTTATACAATCCATAGGTGAATTATTGAACTCCTCCAAAATAAACCCCTTGTGCAGTATAGCCAACAGTTTATTGACGTTTTCATTAGATATATTTGGACAAATAGCCCATTGTGTTAATTTCAATAAGTGCAAACTTTTCTGAACTTGTGGTTCACTGATGTGTGTGAAGGGAGTCATAGAGCTATTCTGACGACTTATAGAGAAACTCTTCAAGATCCGCCTTCTGTTACAAATGCTTCTTGACCGATTCAATAAGATCCCAATGACAAAAAAGTTATGCGTGGATGAACAAATGATCCCTTCAAGGGACGTCATCATCTGAAACAATACATGAAAAACAAACCTAGGAAATGGGGTATAAAGCATTTGTTTTATGTGGCTCGGATGGAGTTGTTTATAATTGGGATTTGTATTGTGGATCTGTGGAACCAGATCAGTCACACACAGATGTAGGTGCCAGTGGAAATGTTGTTATGAAGTAAGAATAATTCCCAAACATGAGTATCACAAAATATATTATGATAACTGGTTCAACAGCGCAAAACTTCAAGTTGAGCTATGAAAGCAGGGAATATTGAGTCTGATGGGGACAGTGCGTTGTAACCGTTTGGAAGGATCAATATTTTTAACTCATAAGGAGATGAAAAAACGAGGAAGAGGATCAGTGGAGGAAAAAAAGCTATCCTTGACGGCGTCGAAATTACTTGGCGATTGAAGTGAAGAGATGGGATGATGAAGCTGAAATGTCGATATGACATGTTCTCAGGCCGTTTCAATTTATTTCATTGGTGGAGTTGATCTTGTTGATTCCCTCATAGATCTATACCGAACGAATATTCGGAGCAAGAAATGGTATCTAAAAATATTTTTTTATTCGATGGATCTATGTGTGGTGAACTCCTGGCTCCTTTACAGGCGAGACTGTAATGGAGGGGGTATCATAGGAAGAAAATAGTTTTCGTTACTCCAATTCAAAACCGACCTAGCTAATACGCTATGTAGCAAATGCCTTCAGAACGAAAGAAAAAGAGGTCGTCAAGTTCATTCACAGTTCAACAAGCTATTGAAATGAACAATAGAAGAGCCAAAATGGCAGCTACATTCACAGAAAAAAGGGGCAGGTGTAAATTCCCAAATTGTACTGGAGTACCAAGAATTCTATGCAGTAAATGTGGTGTTCATTTGTGCCTTTCTCCTAATTCAAACTGTTTTTATTCCTGCCACAAGGGACAGAGCTGTCCGAGAAGCCGCCCAATGTGACTTTTAGGTAACATACCCCTAAATAATCCTAACGGTGTTGTTTTTCAAACTAATACAATTAAGCATTATATCGATGAGAATTCGTGAAATTTAGAATTCAGTATCATTTAGAAGAATCGGGCCGTAGAGGGTTAAGAAATAACAAACGCAAATTTCATGAAACGACAACCAACTTTACACTGAGAAAAACTGGTTAATCAAAACGTCTAGTTGGTATTTTTCTAGTACCGATAATTGAAAATATTTGGAATTTTATTAACAATGACAACGTATCCTTATTTCCTACAAATGACTTTTCTATTTTTCGCCAATTATTTGTCATCAATAAAAATACTATATGTGACAGAATTATCACAGTGTTGTCTATTCAGTCAATTAAAATTTCATATTGGGGTTAAAAAACCTCATTCTGGGGTTACTAACAACAGCTGACTATTTGCCACAACTGATGACACATTTATCGTAAAAGGTTTATTATTATAGTTATATATGTATGTATTCATTTATTTCATATACATATAATGTAAAAAGGTGTTGCAGCAGCAATAAAAGCCATAATATTATTTTTTCTTTCATTCGTTTCTTTAACGTCGGCCTTCTTCTGCTACCGAGGCTAATCACCGACGCCGGTGAGCACACTATACCCCCAACCGGAAATTTTGCCGAATCCTCTGGTGTTCCAACCAGAGGTAGGGATCTTTAACGAGTCCAACATCCATGGCCTCGGGACCGCCGGCTCAACGTCCCCTCCGAAGGACGGCATATCCATACCATATCTTGTGCTCACTGATATGGTAGTTGTAGCTATGATATGCTATTCCGCTGCAGATGTGCGGGCTTACGCGGCGTTTCCTCGAATGGTCACCCATCCAAGTACTAACCGCGCTCGACACTGCTTAACTTCAGATATCGAACGGCTAGAGCCTTACCTGAGAAGCTAGGGCGACGCCCTATTATTATTATCATTATTATTCATAGAAGAAATTTTTTTAGCTATAACTAATAATTTTAGTTTTACTGCGTCGTTCGGGACCGCCTCGCGTCTCGTCGGGACCCACCGGCAAAAATTGCATCTTGCATCTGTTTGTCTTTCTGTTTCATCATTTGAACTTGTATCTTAATAGTGGGTAGATCGCACGGTCGTCGAGCTTAGACAAAATAAATAAAATAATTGTCTAGTGTAGCCGGGAGCGTCGTGTTCTTGCTGGTTCACTGCTCTGTGTGTTTTCAAATCACTGTTTTGTGTTTTTTTGCACTTCGCGCTGAGCCATTTGGCATTTGGTTGGCAAAATAATAATTCGCAGTTTACCATCGTTATCTGTGCATCACTAGTTATCAGGTTTAGGTACCTATTCACAATTCAGTTCAGTTTACGACGGACGACGGTGAGAAACGTCCATCCGACGTCACGTGTACACGGTGTATATTTATAATTCCCTCTCTTTTTGCTGAGCTGTGGCCTGTGGACAAGCGTCTACGGATACCATTCATTTTACATTCCCTCATACTCGCGCCTTTATTTAAATCCATTTGATAGCTGTCTGCTGTCAAAAGTGTCAACTTTTACCAGTTTGTTTTGTTTGAGAGTTTGAGGAGTTATCGTTTTCATCGGTATGTATTATTATGTATGGTTTTGTTATGTTATGTAATGCAAATGCAGAGGAAAAATCACGTACAAATAATTGATAGTAGATTTACTACGACAGCGGATAGTAAAAATGGTTTGGTGCACTATTTGCAATACATCGTTTTCCAAAGTTTACACTTTGAGAAGGCATGTAAAAAATGTTCACCCAGGTTAGTACTTCTTCCCTTTCAATAGTTCCTATCGCAGTTTATGGCAGTGATATGGAAATATATCGTCCCCTCAATTCCAGAAGGTCGTATGTAACACATTTTCAGAAAATGACATTTTGATGCGTATGTGAATATTTCATCGAGTTCTATCAACATGTAAAATATCGTATGTGTATTCGTACTGTATATATTTATTTTTTATGATCATTTAAAATCGTATGTGCATTTGAAAGAAACTGTTGACGAGCAAAAAGTCTCATGTGAGAAATGCATTCATAGGTCACTTTGACGCGTTCTATTGTGATTGAATTGATTATTTTCTCGAACTGCAGAAGGTCGTTTGTGTATTTGTGCCACATGCAACTATTGGTTAACTAGTCGAAATATGCATCATCCTCACATATTTATTTACATAAGGTCGTAAGTACACAAATGAGTACATGCAACCGTCACCCGATAATATAAATATAGGTACATTATTTTAACACCAATCTAGAAAAAAGGTCGTACGTGCACGATTAAGAACATGCAACCTTGTATCAAAAATATCAAGACGTGTTCATAATTCACACATTTCCTGACGTAAGGTCGTATGTGCATAAATATGTTCATGCAACCTTAAGTCGAGAATGAGAAGATAGTAAATCATTTCGATACAATTCCTGACATAACGCCGTATGTGCTTGAATGTGTACATGCGATCTCGAGTCAATAATATATCAGTTAACGCCGAGCTATGTCATCGTAGAGCAGAGAGTCAGGTGTGCGGTTTTTTAGGCACCTAAAAATTAAATGAATGTGACCATTTGGCGGTTTCGTGTGTAGTCCAATATAATTCCAAATCTCGAAAGAGGTAAGTGATTTCAACCCTTACAAGTTTAAATCCTTCAATAATAATATTGCTCATTGTGATTATCATACAAGATCCATCAGGCACTCAATAATTCTTTATAAATATAAATTGAATCAGAGTCATAATTATCCACTAATTAGAAAAATGTTTATAAGAATCACAATTACTCTCAAAATATCATCGTTTTATTTTGGAAACATGAGAATCGAACTTTGTTTGGCCAAATAGAAAAAGACATTCTTGCAGAAAGCATTATTTGAAATTACACACAGAAAAAGTGTTTTGTTGAGATTCCAAAAATTCATCGATGCATTCACGACTACATAGTGATGAATGTGTTCTTGTGGAAATAGTGGTAGCAGGTAATTACGAGATGTGTTTTCTTTTTCAGGTACCAATATCATGTCGTCCAGATCACGAGATATACTTAATAGGGCTTTGAGAATATCTGGTCTCGAAACTGATGATGAACAGACAACCCATTCGAAAAATGATTCAATTCAACAAATCAATCACACAACCAAGAAAGAAAATACAAATACTATGCACAACAACGTAGTATATGAAATATTAGGCGAAACAGTCACAACCGGAGATGAAAATGTGGAAACCTTCAATGGCAAGGTTATATACGAAATTTTGGGAGATACAATAGTTTCAAGATGTGGAGATATACCTAATGTAGTTGCTGAGAATACCGCATCTTCTGATGGTATGATCGATATTCAAAGCTGCGTGATTATGACAGACGATGGTATTATGTTAGACGACGGTTTTCCAAATCGAATGGTCGAATCAGTCAATTTCCAGTTTGGCGAACAAACGGTACAACATGCCACTCACCCAAATTTCGATGAAACTAATAAAACATCTACTCATTCTGTGGAACCCGCAAATGAAAATATCATCGAAACAAATGAAATTTATGATAATGAGTCAAGTAACCATGTAAATAGTCTTTGTATTCCAGAAACTGTGAATTCGGGATGTGATGAGAATCTTGATTCTAATCTTCCTTCATCAGATGAACCAATGAATATAGAACAAGAATCAGATAACGATAATGATACTATGAATGACATTACTTACGTACCAACAGCTGATGAAATGAATGAGATTGATGAAGAGCACATGAATGCATCTTCATCAGATGAAAACAATGAGGTACAGAAGAAACAAGTTGAGAATGATACAAGAATGCGTAGAAGAAATTCTTCACAATGGAAAAAATCAGTAGCAAAAATGGAGAAGAACCTTGGAAACGAATATCAGAATCGTACCGGAAAAATATTTCCTAAGAAGAATGTTAAATTCACAGATTGTTCCAAGTGTAAATTAAAATGTAATTCTAAGATTAATCTACAAGATTTGAAGAATATTCATGAGAGCTATTGGAAAACTGGATCATACGAAAGGCAAAGAGATTTTATATGCAAGCACGTGAAGATAAGTTCAGTGGTCAGAAGACGGAAGGATACAAACTCTACAAATTCTAGAAGAAATAATACTTATAGGTATTATTTTCCTGGAGATAATCAGGTATGTAAAAAAACATTCCTCAGATGTTTGAATATATCCGATAAAACAGTACGACTTGCCAAAATGAAAGAAATGGGTGGCTCGTCAATGGTTTCGAAAGATATGAGAGGGAAACATTCACCGAAAAATAAAACTTCTGATGCTAGAAGAACTGTTGTTAAAAAACACATTGAATCGTTTCCTGTCATGGAAAGCCACTATTGTCGTTCTAAAACGAAAAGGAAATATATCTCATCTGAGCTGAATATAACTAAAATGTATGAATTGTATGTTGAAAAATGTGATGAGGAGAATGTACTTGATCCCGTCTCATCAGCAGTGTATAGAAAAATATTCTGTTCGGAATATAATCTAGGATTCCATAGACCAAAAAAGGATAGTTGTGCTACATGTGAGAAATATAAACAAGTTGAAAATGAGAAAAAGCAGGAAATGAAGGAAGAGTATGACAGGCACATTAAGAATAAAGAAGTGGCACGTAAGAAGAAAGAAAGTGATAAGAAGAGGTCAGAAACTGATATAAGCTTCAAGTCAGTCACATTCGATTTGCAGTCAGTTTTGTATACACCCTGCTCTGAAGTCTCTCATTATTATTATGCATTGAAATTCTGCTCATACAATTTGTGTGTTTATGATCAAGCCAGCAAGGATGGATTTTCATATTTTTGGACAGAAACAGATGGCAAAAGAGGATCAGATGAAATAGGAACAGCCCTTTTCATGTATTTCAAATCACTTCCTGAATCAGTTAAGCACGTTTCCTTGTATTCAGACTCATGTGGAGGTCAAAATCGCAACCGCTTCATTGCCTCGTTACTATTGTACGTTGTAAGAGTCTTTCCGATTGAAGTTATCACCCAAAATTTCTTAGAAACTGGCCATACTGATATGGAAGTAGATTCAATGCATAGTGCCATCGAATGTAACAAAAAGCATCAGAGAATTTATACCCCACATGAATGGTCAATTATAATCAGGACCGCACAGCGAAAGCAACCTTACAACGTTCAAGAGCTATCCTACACCGACATTTTGGATTTGAAAGCATTGAAGAGTTCTTTGACTAGCCAAAAAATGTCTGAGGATCAAGAAGGGAATATTATTAACTGGATGAACATCAAGGAGCTACAGTTCAGAAAAACTTGCCCGCAAACAATTTTTGTTAAAGATGATCATTCCCAGGAGAACTATAGTGAAATGCCCATCGTTCCACCAAAGACCAAAAGAAAAATTCATTCGGAGCCAGAATTGAAGAAGAAGTATAATAAACCTATACCTATATCTGAGAAGAAGAAGAAGAGCCTGGTGAACCTTTGTAGAGTAGATGCAATGCCTGCTATGTACCATAATTTCTATAGATGTCTGCCATCTAGTTCCAACGTTATCGATAGAGTTCCAGAACCTGACCATGAAGACACCTGATCTCCTTCAAATTAAAAATTTATGTATTTGTGAATTTGTTTTTTACTTTAATCATCATTAAAATTTCAATTTCTTCGAATGCTCTCCATTATGTAACATTTCAGAAGGTATTCCGACAAGGTGAAAGGTCGTATGTAGCTCTTCACTCGAACTTAAGCAATGTCTATGATCATGGTTATAAACAATACTGAAACATGTATTTTGACTCCATTCTGTGAAAGGCAAACTTTTCTGATGAACCTTCAGATAGTCATTTGCAAATGTGTGTAATATACCGTTCATCAAAAGATGTCATGAGAAACTTCATTAGCGATTTCCTCCATTTTGTAGATGATCTACATACGACCTTCTGGCATTGAGGGGACGATATACTCATTATTTTTAGATAAACAGGATGAAATCGCTCCCGCAAAACAAAAATCGACTGGGGCTGTGTGCAATGAGTGTGGCAAATCTTTCTCCAGTTCTTCAAATTTGATTCGACATGCAAAACAATTTCACATGGGTTAGTTTATTTTGTTGATTCTATTATGAGGCCAGGATAGTGATATATTTTCTCATTTTCAGATAAAATTGGAGACTTCACAAAGACATTCAATTATGAATGTGATGAATATAGAAAGCATTTCAAGCATTTTGAATTTTTCAATAATCATAAGAAAAATCACAATGATAGCACAATAAATACTGATGGGAACTTGAGAACAGTTAAAAAATTGAAGTGTTGTTTATGTGCTTGTGATGAAAATTATAACAAATCTGGAATATGGAATCACATTGAAGTAGTCCATGACATAAAACTAGCTATTATGAATTTAAGATTTCCCAATGTTCGGAAATTGTTCACTGTATTTTTTTTTTTTTTTTCAAATAATGAATTTTGATTCGTAATCATTTTTTTCTATAATAATCGATAGGTGAAAAGTAAAATTTCGTATTAAAATTTTTACTCACACAAAACTGAAAGCTACCAAATGAATTCAAATAATGGCGCGAGTATGCGGGAATGTAACGTAAATGGTACCCCTAGACGCTTGTTGGCCTGTGGCACTTACGGTGTGTGGTGTATTCCTGTTCACGATTCCATTGGAAATTGGAAGGAAAATGGCATACAAACTATTATTATTAGAATGGGGCCTTGATTTCAATTGATATAAACTGTGGCAAATAAAACTTGGTATTATTCCTTGAAAAGGCTCTTTAGTTACCACAACAACGTCGTAGATGACTCAACTAAACTTTTCATTTGAGGCAAATAGGCGTTTCCAGAAAAACAGAATTAGTTAGGACAACTAATGCTTGCTGTCCCCTTATCGTACTGAAAAATTTTTCTGTAGTTACTAATTTTGTAGTAACGGCTACAAATTTTTTTCCTCAGTGTAGCTTTCAAGAAGCCGGAACATATACAGAAAATTAGAAAATATTCCAGAGAGTCGTTCCTGATCTGTTGTTTAGTATTTGTGTGTTGTCTGAATCAACAAGAGTCACCATTGAAAGAATAATATAATATCTAGAAAGGTGCGTGAATCATTACATAATTTTTTTTCATCTTCGTACCTCAATATAAGATTTAACAGGAATTGTTATGGACTTGAACTACTTTCAAATTATAGTTTCAGCAGGTACATTATTTTATACAACACATTGCGGAAAAAAGCAGTTCGACAAAAAACAAGAAGATGATGAAGTTCCCTCTGATAATGATGAGAAATCAATTTGTTCTTTATTCGACTTGCAGCAGGTTATCTTCCTTTCTATCAGCAATTGAATCCATGATATTTTATCGCCGACGACTTTCCAATTACAATTCCAGAGTCTACAACATTGGAACCAAAGATTGTCACTGCTTGCTCAAGAAATCAGAGCAGAGAAGTTTTTCTGTTTCCAGATGGATGCAGTGGACGAAACAAGAATACTGCAGTTGCTGCTATGCTTCTACATACAGTGAGTACGTTGAATAATATAAGAACGATTTTGTTGCGATTCTTTGAGCCATATCACGCTCAGAATGAGGGTGATTCCGTTCACAGCTCTATAACATAAAGCGAGAACTGGTAATCTCCTTACTGTGCCATCTCAACTAGTTCCTGTCTTAAGACCAGAAGCCATTGTTTACTGTATGGAATCTGAAGATTTCCTCAACTTCAAGAAAATCGATGCAGATCTAAAGATTCCCACAGTATGAGTAGACGATGATGGATTAGGTCTTGACTGGAAGAATATTAGAGAGATTATGTTTCACAAAGAAAACGTTGATAAGGTATATTTCAAAACATCACATCTCAATGACTTGCATAGAAGCATAACATTAAAACGCCAATAGTCTTTATGAGAGTTCATATCGCTCCTATGTGCTCTAAGAAATTAACGTGGATGAAGTGTTATAAAAATCGAACCATCAAATTTTCATACTGATCTCAACTAGATATTCACAAAGCGGGTACCGAGTACGGCTAAGCCGAGTAACAAGTACCGAGTACCCGGTATATTCACCAAGTACCTGGTAGACACAACTGTAAATTACGGCTCTGTAACAAAACAGCGCCAGACAAAATAGCGCCAGACAAAACAGCGTGCGACAAAACAGCGCCACGACAAAACAGCGCGCGGCAAAATAGCGCGCGAAAATACTTTCTGTTGGAATATCATCATATCGACGATATTTGGAATTGAAAGACGATGCGTTACACGATCCTGATAGTGAATGGTTATAGATATAGAAAAGACAACACACATCTGAATTCTGTCTCGTGGCGTTGTTGTAAATCAAGGTGCAAAGGCCGATTGACTGTATCCAGCGACAACACACAATCACCTTCCCAATTTAGCTGAGAATGATGCACATCTGGCGGAGAATAATATTAAAGTAGGAGCAATGGGGTCGGACGTCAATCCAAGAGCTATCATTCACGCTTCTGTAAGTAGTGCATCGACAGAAGCTTGTATTTATCTTTCTAACTACAATGCCGCAAGAAGAACTATACAGCGTCAAAGGAATAAGTCGCATTCAGGAACAGCTTCGCCTAAATGTGTTGCAGACATAGTTATAAAAGATAAGTACCAGACCACTGAAAGAGGAGAGATGTTCTTGCTCTGGGACTCTGGAATGACGATGATAATAATAGGATAATTATGTTCGGAACTCACAGCAATACTAGAAATTTATGCATTATTGTTTAAAAAGAAGCAAGGGACAGATACCCGAGTGTTTGATAAGCATACAGATTGAACCCCTTCTGAGACCACCAAGTATTCTGTCCGACTTTGAAACAGCTTCCATGAATGCCATAGCCAAAGTGTTTCCAGATGCACGTATAGTAGGCTGTTTTTTCCAGTTGGGACAAAGTCTTTGGAGAAAAATACAAGAAAACAAACTCACGGAGGTGTACGGTACAAATGAAGTGACATGGCTGAAACTGTTACTTTCCTTGAGCTTTATACCCGAGATTGACGTACAGTTTGCTTTTAAAATTATGACTGAGAATTTTCCGAAAGAACTTCAGCCAGTGGTTGACTATTGAGAAAGCACTTATATTGGAAGAAGGCTTCACAACATTCCACCTCGGTTCTCAGTTACATCGTGGAACATGTTCACTAGAGTTTCTCATGATTTACCAAAGAATAATAATTCATTAGAGGCCAGGCATAATGCATTCCAGAAAACTCTGAACTGTCATCACCCATCCATTTTTCGGTTGTTGGATCGCCTCAAAAAGGAGCAGTCTTATGTTGGAACGCAAATGAGTAGGTACCGTGCGGGTTTCAGAAGCGAGGAGAGAGCGACCTGTAAATATGTACAGCAGAAGAAGAGGTCGCAGAACCTGCTTGATAATTACTCTTTGCGAAAGGTGAATCACTACTCACGAGCAGTAGCGTTGAATTTATCTATATGTATAATATGAACATTGTTAGGCATGCTGATAAGTTCTCTATTTATGTTCTGTTCATTGATGACCTGTCTTTAGTGTTCACTCGATATGAATTAATGAATTATAATAATATTGAGTACCAAATTGTTTGATTTTTAGAGGATAGGTGGAAAAGTTGATGCTGAGTTATCCTAGCGCCTAGCCTATTTTGTCGCGTGTTGTTTTGTTTCAGCGCTGTTTTGTCGCGCGCTATTTTGTTTCAGCGCTATTGTGGACGCGCCATTTTATCTGGCGCTATTTTGTCTGGCGCTATTTTGTCTGACGCTGTTTTGTCACAGAGCCGTAAATTACTAGCGAACGAGTGCACATAACCAAAGTTTAGTAGAACAGAATGCTCTGCATATTCGTGCGCTCCAGTCTTGAAAGTGCAAGAATTTGACGTTGATCATTATTCATTGATTACTAAAACCGCAATGATTGTTGAGATCTCCACCAATTAGACCGTAACGTGCCATGACCGTAATCGTACTGACACCTACAATAAAACAATCTTGTACGCTTAGAAATGAGACCACTCTCACTACACCGTAACGGTACCTACAGACACCAGACCGTTCCATGCACGGACAGACCAAAATTCCCTCAGAGAATGTTTTGTCGGTGTTGAGACGGAGGATAAACGGTGTTTGTCGGTGACTGGATGCGTTGTTGCATCGGTTATCAGTTGTATGTCTGCTGTTGCGGTGCACGTAGCTAATATGAATGAAGAAAAATTAATTGATTGCGTAACAAAGTATCCATTGTTATGTGACCTAAGGTATCCGGAGAATGCAAATTCAATGAAAAAAAAATGTGCGTGGAAGGAAATTGCAGAAGAATTAAAAAAGTCAGGTAAAGAAATGATGAATATTTATCAAATATAACTTATTCAACAATCACGAAAACGTGAATAGTTAATACAAAAAAGACATGTTGTAGCGTTTTGTTATTAAAAATGTCAGGGCTGGACTGAAGGACAGTTACGGAAGTTTAGGTCTTGATTCATCTAGTCACATTGTATTGCTGTCTCTCTAATGATCTATGACAGCACGTCATTGTGTCTCTGCGCCACTGCCAATCTACAGATCCACTGGGAAAAATGAAATATTTCGCGAATGTATCTTGTGTTCGAATGCAGCATCAATTGCACTTCCACCTTGTCTTCGAAGACCGTATAAGTTTTGAGAGGGAAGTGCTTGAGATGTGTCGACATTACTAAGTGGATTTACATATGCACTTCTTATGTAGTTATGTGAAATACATGTAGTCAAAACAATCTTCTCGGCATATTCAACTGCAAACGTCTGTTGAGAATACGAAATTTTTGACGCATTTTCAACTACACGCCGTGCTCGACATAGAGGCGATAATTGAGAATCCGTTCAGTTATATTGGTTACTGCTTGTGGCACTGGATATGGCCTAAGCAGATTTGTTTTTAATAGAAACGCCTCATCGGCCACTATAACACATGGCGCCTGAATATTTGTTCCTGGTAGATACCTATGTTTCATCACATTAAACTTGTCTTCTTGGAATCCAACAGTTTCAGGGTATGTTTGGATGCTGCACTCCAAATATGGGAACAGTATTCCAGGACAGGTCGGATCTGTGCCTTATAGATCATAAGCAGCTGACTAGAAGTGAAATAGCTCCTGGCCCGAAACAGAAAACCAAGTTTTTAGGACAAGACTGTGACGCAACGGTGCACGTACGCGTTGTGCTGTCGCCAGAACACGGTACGCTGGAAACAACACGGTGTAGTGAGCGTTGGGAATATTTTCGTGTAGGTGTCGGTACGATTACGGACATGCCACGATCATGGCACGTTACGGTCTAACGGGCGGAGATCTTTAAGGAACGAAGTATGATGTGGGATTATTATGAACTTTGCGAAGAAGACAGCACAAAGGCAATATGTGTTATATGCAAGACTATAATTTCGCGATGTGGTACCGGCAACTCAGCGACTACTTCATCCCTAGTGAAACACCTGCGTCTCGTTCATCCGGTGGAACACAGTGAATACAAAACAAATATTGCTGTGAAAAAGAATGAAGTTTCATCACAAAAACTTCATGCTGGTAACAGTAGGGGTAGTTGTGGCGGTACGCTTGATCTCAAACTTAAATAAGTTCAATCCCGAGTATACGAAGGGACTTGATAAGGTTTTCAAAAACTTAGGTCTTGAAAGCGTTCATCAGTCTGGGTCAAAATTAGACAATTTATTAGGCAATCCAGAAGATGAAATGGACACACTTGAAAAGTCGGGAATATACGAAATAAGTTGTAATGATTGTGATAAAACATATATAGGCCGAACCAGGCGGCCCCTAAAAACAAGGTTCGAAGAACACATAGGTCATTTGAAATATGGCAGGTTAGATAAATCTTGTGTAGCCGAACATATGTTCAATCACAATCATAACACACATATTACTAACCTCAAATTAGTTAAGCAAGTTAATAATATTACAAAAATTGACGCATATGAAAGTTAGAAGATATTTGAGAATAGTAATAGAGTAATGAATAAGCATAATAGACCGATTCCATATAGCCTTCTATATAGTTGAGTAATATAAAAATTGAGATTAACATGTGAACTCAACCATGACAAACATTAACTTGACGGATAGTATTTTTCACGGTTGGGTGAACATATACCTAGAATATAAGCAGCACACTAGAATAGGATATTTAGTTTTAATCTTCTCCTGAAGATGCTAACATAGTTGGACGTGTCGAGGCGTTTGAAAAATCGGTTTGGTTAGTGGTAAAACAGTGTAGTGTATTATCGTGTCAAACGTTCCAGCATTGGCCCACACCTATGGGGGCCCCGGTTTGGCATAGAAAAAATAATTACAACGCAGCACTTGACTAGAATACGCTTCGCGTAACCAAGGCCTAGATAGAGTAGGCCCTAACGCGTTGTATTGGTATTGCATCGCGTTGTGGTGGTATTGCATCGCGCATCGCATTTCACCCGCCCGGCGTACCGTGACACACCCCGCCGCCAACGACAGTCGCGTGGTATATGCCTGCCAGAGCACAATAAGTGATTAAATAATTAAGAGCGTGCAGGAGTTGAAGTGAAGTGAAAGAACTAATAGGACGTTCATTTGGAATAAGTGAGTACTAACTACATGTTTTGTTTTTATAATGTATTGAATGCATTCATCCATCCAGCAATACTCTGCTCAACATCCGAAACGATAGTTTTTCGTATTTATGGATCTTGAAAATTGATCTTATTTAAACCTAGTAGTAGTTTATAATATTACCAAAACCACAGTTAAAAGAATTAATATATTAATTCTTTCAACTGTGCCAAAACCAACTAAGTATATCCTGTATATCTACATGTTTCTTTCAGTGAAGAGAAGTGGTCCAAGTGGATTCCAAAAAAGGAAGATACAGAAGGCAAAGACTAAGGAGGCCGAATTACTAGCTGGATCGCTGTTGAAATATGTCACTGAAAAGAGACACACTAACCAAAACGAAGAAACTCGCGAAGAAAGTAACATCGAGGAGTCAAGTCGTAAGAATTGATAAGATCAAGAAGAACAAGAAACCGAATTAGTAGAAACAGAAAGACACAAAGAAAAGAGCGAAACACCAGAAGTAGATGTACAGAGTGAAAAAAAGGTGACAACAAGTATATATGCATCTCAACTAGGGGATAGTAATGAAGAGATTTTATGCGTCGAAAACCTGTGCCCTGTTGAAGAGGAGAAGGAAGAAGGAGAAACGAGCTCTTGTTCAGAACCAAAAAGAGGAACCAGTTTTGATTATGAATTCTTAGATTCCAATGATGCTGCGAACTGGCCAATGCCCTTACCAGATCACTTTCGAATTGAGATTATTAAGCAAGGTAGTGAGACATTCCAACATAAAGATGGTCCATTTATTTCTATTGATAGACAAGGCGAACATGCTAAGGGATCACAACGTAGTTTGACATCAAGATGGTTTTACTCAACTGTGGGAGACGGAAAAAAATATCTTCGAAAATGGATGATTTACTCTATCTCGGCCAATATGCTATATTGCTTCTGCTGTCGACTCTTTGCATCCACGGACGATCTGAGTAAACCATTTGTTTCTGGTTATCAAAAATGGTGGAAATTGAATCCCGATATTTCACTTCACGAGGCATCTCATCAACATATATCTAATTTGGAAAAATGAAAAACTCTCACAGTTGGTTTGAAAACCAATGAAACTATTGATAAAGTTAATGAAGACACTATAAATCGTGAGGCAAAAAAATGGCGAAACATACTTCATCGACTTTTGGATATTACACTATTTTTGACTGAGCAGAATCTTGCTTTCAGAGGCCATAGAGAGGATTCTTCATCAGAAAACAGAGGTAATTTCATAGAATTAGTGAAAATGATGGCAAAATACGATCCCGTATTGAGTGAGCACTGGTCAAAACTTCAAGAAGCTGCAGGTGGATCGCGAAGAGTACCTTCTTATTTATCGAAAGGTATCCAGAATGAATTCATTTCTATTTTAAGTCATCACGTAAAACAGAAAATTATTGATGATATAAAAAACTCTAAATATTTTGGAATTATGTTTGACAGTACTCCAGACGAGAGCCACACCGACCAAATGAGTGAAATAATAAGATATGTCCATATCGAAGAAGGAGCTGTGGAAGTTCGGGAGTCTTTCTTAGGTTTCTTTGCTATGTCAGGAAAGACGGCAAGTGATATGTCAAATGATATCCTAAAGCAGCTAGAGAAAGATGGGTTAGACATTCAACTTTGTAGAGCTCAGGGCTACGATAATGCCGCCTCAATGTCTGGTGTGCATGGACGAGTCCAAAGGAAAATCCGAGATATCAACCCTAAAGCATTATTTAGTCCTTGTGCAAATCACTCATTAAATCTTTGTGGTGTACATTCCTTCGCATGCGTCCCTTCAAGTGTAACCTGTTTCGGCACTTTAGAAAAATTATATTCATTCTTTTCTGTTTCCACCCACAGATGGGAAATACTGACACAAAAGGTTGGAAAAACTTTGAAAAGATTGTGTGATACACGCTGGAGTGCTCACCATGATTCCGTTAAAGCAGTCAGACAAAATGTAGAACAACTGATCCATACGTTGGAAGAAATGTGTGATCCCTCGAAAGAAAATTTGGACACTAGGTCTGCAGCAAGCGTACTACTTCCTGCAATATGTGACTTCACATTCTTATGCTACTTGGAGTTCTGGAATATGATTTTGGAAGAAGTTAATCACACCCAAAAATATTTACAAACACCTGAAATCACACTTGACATGGGTTTGACAAAAATGAAGGCACTGCAATTGTTTCTTGTCGAGGAAAGAAATACGCTGGTCAATACGGCTATACAATTTGGCACGCACAAATGTAGAGAAATGAGCATAGATATTGACAGACGTGGCCGACGAAAAGTCAAAAAGAATCTACCCGGAGAAACTACATCTGATGCTGGCTTAAATTTGCAAGAGGAAGTTCGCAGGTCTATGTTTGAGTGCTTGGATAGATTTATTCAAGAATTGGCTACAAGATCCACTGCTATGGAAAACATATCTAGCACCTTCCATATTGTACAATCAAAATTCCTGATAGAAGCATCTACGGAAAATGAACTTGAACAGGCCATAGAAGCACTCAACCTAGTCTATGGTGACTTTGTCAAGGAAGAAGTATGCAAAGAAGTATACAGATTGCGAAGACATGTGAGCGCAACTGGTACTGCAATGGAGGAAGCTGCTTCTTGGAATGCCAAAAAAATGTTTGAATTTATTATTAAATGGGACTTTACCGAATCCCTTCCCAACATATGTTTGATACTTCAGTATTTCCTAACAATTAGTGTATCAGTGGCGTCATGCGAAAGAAGTTTTCCAAAACTAAAATTAATCAAAAACTATCTAAGATCAACCATGACTCAAGAACGACTGGCTAGTCTGGCTATTTTGTCCATCGAAAGAAAAGCAGCTTCGGTTTTGGATTTTGATGACGTAATTAATAAATTTAGTGTATTGAAAGCCAGAAAACATAATTTGAAATTAGTATAGTTAATTTCAATTACTTGTATGTGTCTTTGTTTGTTTTTCACTTGTGTGTGTGTGTGTGTGTTTGCTGTTTGCAACTTTTCAAAAATATTGAATAAAACATTTGAGTTTCCATCTGTCTTGCGTTCATTTCAATAAATATTCAAATCTGAGGGCGCCAGGGGGCCCAAAATTAAAGATCGCCCCGGGCCTCAAAAAGTCTTAGTCCGCCAGTGGGTTCCAGTCTTCGATATATTAAATAAGTTGATATTGAAAGCTATAGTAACAGAGAATAGAAAATTGGTAATAAAAGGGCCAAATTAATACTCCAACCATACACAATAGTGGATGATGTCGGTAAGTGATTGTATCCTACTGTTTTCTCACATATTTCAGGTTTTCAACGGGTTTTATTCGTGTCAGAGCCCTCTTACGAAATTACTTCAAGAAACAGATACTGTTATTCTTGAACTGTATACCAGGTGCCGAGATAGAATGTTGGTGCAATTGAAAGAAGCAAGCTACATTGGTTCAACATATAATATTTGGACATGCAGTAATTCCAATCGAAGCTACATTAGTGTAACCGTCCATCATATCAGTAATGACTTTATTTTTAAACACGGAGTATTTGACACCATACCGGTGGAAATATTGCATCGAAACTGAAAGCGTTGATAGATTGGGAAATTACTGAAGAAAAGATATATTTGTTATCAAGGGACAGTAGTTCTAATATAAAAAGGGGAGCTAGAGATTTTGGGGAACCAGTGAATCATGTTTTATTCACACTTTACAACTAGTGGTTACCAATTCTATTTTTCACAACAATATTGAAACACCCGGTGTCTCGAATCATTACCTACCATTGGGCGTATGTCGCAAGATACAGTAATTGAAAATAAAAAAAGGGCGGACGGCATCGCCGGAACGTGTAGGGTGTATACGACGCGCAGTGGTGGCATAGGTCAAAATGTATCAACTAATTATATTCTACAAGGTTTCACATATATGGCTAAGGTAAATTATTTCTTTGCCTTGATAAAGCACGTCAAAGAACATGAGTCCACTCTTATACTCTAAGAGCTGAAGTATTGCTGCCAATTTATAAGGTTAATACCTTCAGTTTATTTTTTGAATTATGAAGACTCTATTGGCAATATTGCTAGAAAATGATTTCCCACAGAAAACTATAGTTTCAGAGAAGTAACAGTTTGTGGCAGAGTATGTGATGTAATGAACAGTTTTTATAGATCATTTGACATTCGAATGAAAGATTTGCAAGAGAGGGATTTATTTGGAATTATTTCAAAATTCAATAAAGACCTTGTGGAGGAAACGCCAGAACTCAGCAGATTCTTGGTAAATGTGACTCATTTCTCAACTTTGAATACGTGAAATAGTAATTTAGGTAACAAGTCCGGAAAATACTGTTGTTTTTTTTGTACGAGTAGACAAAATTCTAGAACAAGCCGTAGGCGAGTCCTGGAAGTACTAGTTTGTCGGCAACCATGTAGAATAACAAGATGATTCTCTGTCGGACCATCGACACATTCTGTTCAAGTTAGGTGGGATAAGCCCACCTGAAAAGAAAAAATATAGGAACCCACGGACAACCAAATGGGATCTCTTTCGAGAGGAACTGAAAGGAAGACTAGTGGGACTACCATCAAAGTACGGAAGCGAAGCCAAATAGATATGGCAGTGACGTGTTGGTGTCGACTCTGAAGTATGTGCATTGTCTCAAATAGAAAGAGTAAAGTATACCTATACATTACAAATTGGTGCATCAAAGTGAGCAGTCTACTGCAAGTCGGTATGTTCTTTTTCCAATATTGAAATTGTGTCCCAATCATACAATTACCAAATAGTGCAATTTAATTATTGCCATGGTCGGTTGTATCAAATGTACGACGGCGATAAGTAGAACGCGGCCAGGCGTTTTTTGCTCTGGATGTAAAAACCAGATACATGGCTGTTGTCTATCGACAAACTATGATATACCGGTTGTCCTCTCTGCTGTTCCTGGTCTCTCATGGAGATGTCCTGACTGTACAACGGAGTGCATAGTTATCAATCAGGTTCAAATCGGACAATTACTTGAATCCAAAGTTGATGCATCCTTAGCTGAATTCAAGAAAGAAATCGAATGTATTAAGATGGAAATTAGAACATCCAAAAGCATTTCTTCTTTACCGGATCCTCCGAAATATTCAGACATTTTGAAAAACAAATCCCATCCTGCAGTCATTGTATTTCCTAAAAATACAAGTCAGCCCATTGATCAAACGAAAGCGGAAATTCTTCAAAACATTGATCCTTCCAAAGCAAATCTTCAACTAACAAAGATAAAAAATGTCAAGAATGGCGGATTACTCATAGGTTGCAAAAGTAAGGACCAGAACGAATTGATCAAGTCAGTAGTACAGCAAAAGATGTCTAATTCGTATACCGTTAAGGAAGTGACTGGCATACAACCAACAGTACGACTGGTAGGCATGTCGGAGAACTATTCAGCACAACAGATTGCTGCTTTTCTGAAGACATGTAATCCAGAAATATTTTCAGAAGAATCGTCCTGCAATATTTTGAAAATCAACCCACTGAAAAAGAATAATAATGTATTCCAAGCAGTGATTCAGTTAGACAGAGGTTCATATGAGAGGGTTATTAAGGCTGGATATTTATTTGTCGGTTATGATAGTTGCATTGTTTATGATGCAATCGAAGTACATCGTTGTTTCAAATGCAATCAATATAATCATTCCTCCAGTACGTGCCAAAATGCCCTGTCATGTCCTCTGTGTGGTGGTAATCACGACCTGAAAGACTGTAAATCTAAAGATCATAGTTGTTCAAATTGTCTGAAGTTAAATAATTCTAGTTTATCGTTTATCGTTTATCGTTCTGATCGTGACATGTTCGCTACTAACTGCACCAGAGGTGGTGGCGTTCTCATTGGAGTTAACAACATTTTTACATCATCTACCGTTGATCTGAATTCAAGACCATTCCGAAATCTATCAGCTAGTATTGATATAGTTGCAGTTCAAGTGACATGTGACTCAGGGTCCCTTTTTGTAATCAATGTCTATGTATCTCCAGAAATATCTCTCGAAGATTTTGAAGAACTATTTCATGCTCTTGAATCATTAGATTGTCTCAGCACTAGTAATGTCCTCATCTTAGGTGATTTCAATATTTCACAGTATTCTACGTATTTAAGAACGAATCAGGGCAATCGTCAAATTACAATTTTGAATAATTTTTCTATCATGTTCCACATGCAACAACATAACCTTATTGTGAACACTAATAATCATATCCTTGATCTTGTTTTATTCAATAACAACTGTTCTGTCGAAAGATCCTCTGACACCTTAATCAGAGAGGACCTTCATCATCCAGCTTTGTTAATATCAGTAAAATTAGACTTCAATATAAAATATTCATGTCCTCTAGTTAATAACTACAAAAACTGTTACAACTTTCGTAAGGCCAACTTTGAACAACTGTATCAAATGATGTCTTCCATTGACTGGACTTTTCTAAATGCGTTTCAGGATGCCGACCAAGCATGTACATATTTCTTTGGAAAATTATACAGCGTATTTGATAAGTGTGTACCAAAATTCACTAATGTACGCAAAACAAAATATCCTCCTTGGTTCAACAGAGAAATAATAAGAGACATTAAAAGGAAATCTAAGTGTTTCGATAAATATAAACATAACAATGACATTGTAGCACATATTGAATTTAAACATCTTAGAGCCAAAGTTAAGCGTGACTCGAATGCATCTTATAAAACATACGTCCAGTCAATTGAAAATGAAATTGGTGATAATCCTAATAAGTTCTGGGCATTCATCAATAGCAAGAGAGGAACAACTAACGTCAGTGATAATATGGTATATAACGGTTATGATCTTGATACACCAGGCGATATTGTTAATGCATTTGCTGATTTCTTCAGCAACTCTTTTGCGCCAATGTCTAATACACTAGAAATCGATAATAATAATAACTTCATGCTGGATAATTCAATACATATACAAGGATTTGATGAAAGTGAGGTTTTCAGTGCACTCAAACAAATTAAACCAAAAATGACTACCGGTCCTGATCACATTCCAGCGTTTTTAGTTAAAGACTGTGCCACTATACTCGCCTCTCCTTTAGCAACTCTTATTAATATTTGCCTGAAGACCAAAACTGTTCCATCTTCTTGGAAGATTTCTAAAGTCTGCCCGATATACAAAAAAGGTGACCGGACAGATGTAACTAATTTCAGACCTATCACTATTATCTGTAATTTCTGCAAGGTATTTGAAATCCTCTTACAAAAAAATATTTACTTTCAAGTTGAAAAAAGTCGGGAGTTTGGTTTCAGCTGTGATAGTGTGAACATCGTTTATGAATAGTGGCTGACTTACTTCGATCTTACTATAAAAGTGAGTAGAAATCCTTTGATTAGAGGTTTTTCACGCTCTGGTTCGACCTGTTGAACATACCTTGTTCCGACAAACACAGTGATAAGAAGAAAAAAAAAACGGTTAACTTTTTCTACATCTGTAGTTAACTCGACACACATTTTGCTCGATATGTCTGCTACCTGCCATGCGTGTGATAAATCAATCCAAAGCAAAGACGCTATTGTTTGCTCAGTATGTGGCGAGCCAGCACATGGAACTTGCGGCCGTCTCCAATCCAGTGCGGACGGCAAATCACGTACCTGGACTTGCGATATCTGCATACTGCGTATGAATTCATCCGCTACACAACTCAGTGATATGACACCCTTGAATACATCTCACTTCGATGCTATCATGAAACAGCTCTCTGTTGTAACGAATGCAGTTACATGCTGCAACAATAAGATCGAAGAACTGAGCAACATACTCGTGACTCATACATCAGAAATTTCTGACTTGCGCACACAAAATGATGATCTGTTAGGAAAAGTATCCATTCTTGAACAGAAATTCAGCACATTGAACCATCCCTTCTCTTCAGAAAAATTG